CAGCCTAGTAATGTTTCCCTGATCCACTAAGCAGGAGCAGAAATACTAGCATAATGGATCTGATCTCCTGTGTAAAGATATTGGCTGGATTTTTCACAAGACAAGCCAAATCAATGCTGCACACTGCCCCATGTGTATTCAGCTGCCATACAGAAACTAAAATAATACCAATTATGCCAATGGAATTAGGGCTGAGTGCTGTTCTAGTTTCTTTGCAGCCACATCAAAGCCTGTCAGACTCACAAAAGCTAATGCCACTGTATGGCTGGGCAATACAGGGGAATTGTCCTAAATCCGGCTTTTCAGTGCCCCAGTCTTTTCAGAAGAGTGGAAGTTAATTAAAAAAGCACCTTTTTCTTCAGTTAAAGATAAAGAGCGCTCACGGTGTTCATTTGTTTAGGAATAAATTGGAGAGCTTTAAGCTAGTGGGAAAGACCCTCAGAAATACCAAATGCAAAAAAGACACAGCTACACAGGGTACATACATACAGTACACACACACACAGCACAGATTAATTAATGACACAGGTCCACTGACCTGTGTCATTAATGTGAAACCTTACAGCAGTGGTTGTCTGCCAGAGGCACTGTGCTCGCTACAGTAAATGGTTGAAAAGGTATGGATGTGAGCGAACAACATATCTAACAGGATTATTCTATGATACAAATACATAATATGCAAGCACAATTACATACTTTGATGCCACTTAAAATATGCTCTTACACAACCTGTGCATCCTTTATACAAGGTTTTAGTGACTCTTTTGGAGGAGAATTTATTTTAAAAGCTATACTTAAACTGACCCTACAGAGAAATGGATTTAATACTTGTGCCATGTTTGCCTGGCACTCTTTTTATTTTTACTTCTGCGCATCATTCAGAGCACCATTCTTTTCTTTGGCTGGCATTTACCTGTACCTATATACATGCCTTTTATAAATGAGTGAGAATGTGATGAGTGTAATGTGTTAAGCCAGAGCTCTCTCACAGGATTATAACCATGGCAGGGATTTAACTTCTGTGGCATTTTATGCCCAAAAGGTTTGTAATCCTGAATGCCAGCGCAAAAGCCTTAAACTCAACATTTTAAACACACGCATACAGAGCAGTGTAGACAAGATGTAACTGGAACCCCAGTGCCTCACAATAGTTCAAATACGACCAACTAGGAAATTAATAACACCACTTCAAAGGCACCGTGTGAAATATGTGGACACCGCTTAGCTCAGGATTTAAAAATATACCCCTTTTTTTAAGTTTCAGAGAAAATGCATTGCTAAGGAGATATATAAGGGCATCGGTAAGTATACTTTTTGCAGATTATACTGGAAAATGTAAACAGTACTCTTTTCTTTAGAAGACACCTACAGTGCAGTTGCGATGCAACACTTGGCTCTACTAAATAGAGGGGCAAACAATAAAACAGATGATGGGAAAGTGAAATACATATTAATTGGCTGTTCTTGTCCCACACATTGACGCTGATGGATGAATACATTTTCACTGTTGCATTCTGCCTCACCCACACATGTGCACTCTTTTTCTCACTCCTCATTCCTCTCTCTCTCTTCCTGTTTTTCATTGGTGTATGTTCTTTGCTCTTATGTAGATACAGAACACAGTTTGGCCCAAACCGATGCATATGTGAGGCAGGTCTATGTTCTAAAAGCTTATCAAATTGAGGATATCAAAAGAAATGCATAACGGCGGGTTAAATCTAAACATGCATGCACTTAAAGCTACTGCATGTACTGTACTTTTAGAAATATTTTTGTTGGAGAAATCTGCTCCAAAACTTGTCTTAATGTGGAGAGGTGCTGCTGAAGCCTCCTCTGACCCAGACCCATCGAACTGACACAAGTTTAAAATGGGATGTAGAGTATAATCAGATATCATCTGAATAAGCAGTGATAACATTCTGGTCTACCTGTAAACTACTTGTTTAGGCAAACAAAATAGGATCCAGGACAGAACCTTGGGACATGCCACAAGACAGTTACACATGAGAAGTGAAAAACTGTCAGAGAGGGTTAAGAAGCACTCCTGAGTTTGCCCAGATGCCCAAATGTTGCTTAAAAATCCCAGTTTATGACATTGTGATCAACAATGTGAAGAGGTGCAGTCAGAATCCAGCAGTACTATACTACACTGTTCTGACACTGGGCATTAATAAGTCAGTATAGACGCTGACAGTAACAGTTTCAGTGAACTCCAGTAAATGAAACCAAGACTGAAACTGAAGTAGTTGTAAGCTGCTTGGCATCCTTTTTTTTTCTAAAACGTTGGCAATGAAAGGGAGTTACAGGCCAGTGCTTCTACTGCTGCATGTCTCTGCTTGTAGAGGTCTTTGCCAGCAAGGATCCATCTTTATTAAGTTAATCTTACAGCTTGCTGCATATGCTTAATTACTGACAGCCAAACTCGTATCATTAAAATCACTCACAGGGAGCTATGGACTGCTGGGGAGCCATGTTAAATACACTGTGTGTGAGACAGAGTTGAAGGAGTGTGTTTCATTTCAGTTATTCCTCTTTGTTCCCCTCAGGCATGCTTAGCAGGGGCAACCTCCACAGATATGTTGTCAAACAACTGCTAGCATTCATTAAAATGTAATTATATGCAGACCATAGCATTCGCAAAAGGTTTCAGCAATTATGTTGTCATTTCCTTTGCTCTTACTGTATAAATAGTGCAATGAATGAGATCTTTGTGTCTAAATATTTTTATATTTTGTGGGAAGCACTTTGAGCTACTCAGCTGTATGACTTGCACAACTGGTCTGATTTGATAGTGACTGCATAGGCTATGTCCCACTGGGTGATTACAGTCTTTTTACATTTAATATTTAAGCCTACACGTCTTTCAATTTCCATGTTTTAAGTTGCAATTGATGTTCTGTTAGTTGATGTAAAGCACTGAAAGTTATTTGACTCAGGCTGTCAGCTGTTTCATTTAGTATATGCTTCAGCATCAGTTGTGGAGACCTCAGCTGAGCAGCCACGAGGTTTCTGTAAGGTGCAGTCACATTCATACAGACGCACGGCATTTATATCCAGACAATCCTCAGTGTTTTTCTGCTCATATGCTGCTTGCTGTTGTAGCTGTCAGCAGCACTTCCTTCTCCCTTTTAGCATGCGGTGAAAATGTTGGTGTCATTGTTTTTACTGAAATCTAATGTTTATATTTATTTACTGTATGGGATTATGTTTTGGCAGAATCCTTTTTGCTTCATGGATTCGTTGACAGTTCCTTCTTCCATCTATTCTAACTGTATTTACTAGTTGTAGTTTCGTGACGTACTGTAAGTATGCTGTTTTGGCAGAATCCTTTTTGCTTCTTGGATTCGTTGAGAGTTCCTTCTTTCATCAATTCTAACTGTATTTACTATTTGTAGTTTCGTGACGTACTGTAAGTATCTGTAGCCCTTTTTACAATGCGGCTACAAAACGTACAGTGCCGGCATGGAGAGTCAATGTTGACCCTTCAAATTGCCACAGCAAGAGGTGGTATTTGTGCTGAGATAAGTTTGTCCCACCTCCTGTATAAAAGGATACAGGCGGAAAGGGGGTTGGAGTTCCATGAGAGAGGGAGCAGCATCAGGGAGAACAGCGTGAATCAGACAATTAAAACTTTATTTTGTGATCGTTTCACTGGAGTTACATTCTAAAACAGAAATAAACACAACCACACCTCTGCACAAGCCTTTGGGATTTTGTGTGATTTCAGCCAAAATGCACACTTCTGTTTGTTTTGCTGTCCACTGTGTGTGTGTGTGTAGACACACAGACCTGAAACTGGATGCACCTAGTACTGGAATTCCCTGTTTCCATCTATAAATATATCAGACAAAATCAAATAACAATCCCTTTGATTTGCTTTAAAATTGGCAATGAAGGACACGGACCGTCGGACGTCATAAGCATCACGCTTCTACTGCTGGGATCCTGGCAGCTGTGTGAAACGAACACAGGAGTGGCAGTTTACCAGCTTTAAATTCAGTGTAAAAGGGGCTTAAATTAAAGAAGTCACCTTGTAGAAGGGTCGAAACACTGGCAGTTTGCAGTTTGCCACGATCTTTGTGTAAAAGGGGCTTGTAACTGAACTAATGCTTGTTGAGAGTTGCCATGTTAACTCTGCTCAGTTATGCCTTTTTTAAGTGCGGATGAAATTGGAGGAAAATGAGAAAGGCCACTTTTCTTTCTTCATTCATCACATTAATGCCTAACTATATAATAGACTATTTGTCAGCAGCAACTGTTTCCTAACTAATGCCTAACTATATATTAGACTATTTGTCAGCAGCAACTGTTTCTTGGCTTGTTTCTATTAATCACTACTGTTTCTGCCTCCTGAGACCTTTACCATACAGAACAATCTTTACTAATTTGACTGTGAGGCCTGTCTGTCAACAATGAATGTGTGTGTCTGGACACCCTCTGGGTGCACCTCCAACTAACCTGTCAGTCTTCTCAGTGACGCCTGCCACACAATGCGAAGATGGCATTTGGGAGGAAGACGAACAAGAACATTGTTCGGCATGCAACTGAATTATTCATAACTTGGCACATTTAATCAAAGATGAAGAGCCAGCTGCCACTATCTGATATGTCATCGCTCGTCCTGCTAACATATTCCATGAACTTCTTACTGACACTGAATTAAATCAGAAAATGATGGTGCTCTTTCCTGAAGCTTAAAATGATGGCAGGTGTGAGCAGGCAAAGTGAGAGAGTTTTCATTTCCACAAATAAGAGCAATAAAAGAAAAAGCTTCTAAAATGTAAACACGTGAGACAAAACATCTGTTATTCTTTTAAGGTATGTATCTTCTTCCTCACATTTTGTTGTGCTTATTCCAGTCACTCATGTCACCATAGTAACTCAGACATTTGCCCAGAATTCTTTCTGCATAGAGGGTCAGTCACTGTGATAGAGGCCAGGACTCCAGCCCTACACGCATGCACACAAACCCTCGCATATATATTAAGTGAGACACTTACTGATGTGTACAGGTAGCCTTCACTGTTCATAGCCAGATACAGTTTGGTCTGCACCCCCTGGATGGCCACCACTCGCAGCCCCACTGGAATAAGGTTGAACATGGCTGGAAAGAGAGACAACATGAAAAATATAGAAAGTGTACTCTTTCATCTTCATTACACTTATTATAATAAAGGCAATGAATGATGCAGCAATGATAAATTATGATACTATTGGATACTTAAGATAAATAGAAACAGCGTTCTGAGCAGAGCAGCATGTTATAATGTAGTAAATAAATATAAATGACAGGAAAATGAACATACAGTATACTGTATATGGTACTTTAATAGCTCAGTGAGACAGAAACAGAGTTCATCTTCCTGTTGTCAATTCACAAGCTGCAATGTGGAGAAATAATTCCAAGGGAACACCCACATTTTAGTACTGAGCTCCACCTGGTTGACTACTGAATGTAGCATTCAGCATTTAGGGTTAAATTGTTTAGTGTTCTGTATCTCTGTGGATGTTGGAGTGAGTTGTCAGCAGTGAACCACAAATAGAGGTACGACATAAGCTCTGGGACTCGGCTACTCTCTCCCATGGCTGTCTCAAAAAGCAAATGAACAAAATCAAAACCAAAAGACAGAAATAGAACTGTTGAAATGACGCAGCAGCTCACGATCTTACGTATTCACACACATGAATTGTAAGCACAGGCTGCACCGTGTTAAGCCTATAGCAAGGATAATATGTGCAGTTCTTTGATTATGGCAAGAAATCAAATATGAAAAAAAAAATAGTGTGGCCAGATGTAAATCTGGGATGATGACAGTGCAGCTATGTGACAGTGCTGCTGTCTCCTTAAGTCATTGTTGCTTTGCAGCATTACACTTCATGCCTGTTCTCAAACACACAAAAGTGATCAGCGGGGCTGAGTGCGAGTCATGAAGCTGAGCAAGCCAACAGCAGCCCAGATGGTCAGTTAGGTTTACGTCTACCTAATTAATGTGAGTTTGTACTGTATACAAGTGTGTGTGTTTCATAAGAAGCTGGCAGGAAGCATGTGAACGTCCACCTGAAAGCTTGTTTTGATTATTGTTGGACACGCTCCCAAACAGTGATGCCATCACCACTGCTGTTGATTTGTGTTTTGTGATTCTGCCTTCTGATAGCAGAATCATAACATTTCCCTCTTGATTGTGAGGGTGGTCACAATAGGAAAGGGATTTCTAGGTTGAGACTTGCATAAGAGGAGAAATTAAACTTTATTCACACAGCTCTGACTCAGAGTATGCCCCCACTACTGGTCCACTTGTCAGCCACTTAGTAGGTCCCTATCTGTAGACTCCTCTGAGCAGAGTGCACTATAGAGGCTATTTAATCCACCTTTAATACTGCAGACCAGTTTCTCTCTGGGCTCTCATCGTAAACAACAGCCAGAGCAATGCATAATGTATTTATTTGGCTGAGTAAACAGGTATTGCCAGAATATTCTTCACTCAGTTGAAAGGCATTTAAGTCCCAAGAACCACTTGCTCTGTGGCTTTCCCCTTCTCTCCCCCTCTCCTGCTCTGTCTTTCTATCTCCCTCAGTCTAACGTTACCCCTTTTTCTTGTTTCTTCCAATGCCACGTTAAAGGTCTTTCTCAATATACACTCTTGTCTGTTCTCATGACCCCAGTGACATGTTTGAAATAATGTAATGGTCGGAGTATATCAACAGTAACAACAAAAGAATATCAGGATTGTGGAAAAACAACGATCCCGTGAGTTTATTTTCCTGGCCTTTAAGAATGATGGATGCCTAGATGATATTTCCACAGCTGTCACAAACATAATGCTTTAGTCTATAGAATCATTCTCAACAGCAAGATTTCTATGTTTAGCTTTTTTCCTTCATTTTTACCCCACGTATTCATTATCTAGTTAAGAAATCCTGTCCATTTCTTCTCAAACTGACTTATCTGTAGTGATTCATGGTGGAGGGTTAACAGTCTGGTCCAGTTACTTTAACTAAATTAAGCTCAGACTACAATTACAGCACTTTTCAAACACATAGTTAGTGACAGTCATATAATAATGCAGCAGTCAAAACATGGCTCCCTAGTGAAAGACACACTCTCTCTCTGGTTTGAAGCTTTCAAAAAGACAGGTTGGTGCATCTTTTGGAGAGAGTATCTCTTATCTGAGAGAGTTTGCTTTGACATCCACAGTGTATACAGCAGCAGATGCTGCCATTAAAACCTATATCCCAAAGAGAGAGCACCCATTGTTTACAGCCTCATTTTTAGATGTACTGCACAACAATATTGTGCATTTATTACACTGACAAACCACTGACAGATCAGCCAAATTAATTTTTGACTATAAAAAGACAGAAATTATAACAGTATAAATGTAGCAGTTGTGACTGCATGTACATAACTACTATAGTTCACAGTGATTCACTTCCAGGCTTAACAAAAGGTGGAGACGCTCACGCCACAGAAGTGGGAGATCAAGAGAAACCAGATGATCATTACCATCAAAGACATTTTAACACAACTTGCATGCCTGCCGTACTATTTATTAATTTTAACTAAATGTATTCCTAGGTTTTGCTCATTTTTGGAGCATTATTCAACACTGTAGCACGGAAGCTAAGTAAGCTCTTGCCAGAAATGCATGGTTATAGGTTATAGGTTATAGATGGCACTTAAGAGCAGTCTTTCTCCACAGTCATTGTTCAGATTGATCTATCTTGACTTTCTATCCAGGGTTACTGAACAGTGAGTTAATGTTTTCATCAGAAATCTTTCTTCACTACCATGGCAAACTGACAAGATTTGTAGACTTGTTCAAGAATAAATTCAACACATTCAGATCTTTCGTGTATCATATGTTTCATAGTGTTAGATTTGATGGTTTGTTTTCCTTCCTCTCCTGACACATCTTGGTATGTGAGCAGATCTCGTCTTTGTTGTTGCACCCTTCTCAATCTGCATCGCTCAGTTTTCTCCCTTCATACTCCCACCATGACACACGTACACATCTGCAGTCCACTTTATTTCAGGAGGATTACCAGCCATACTGGTGTACTGATAGAGGTTTTCAAGAGGGGAAACTCAATTACTTCCTGGCGCCTGGAAACACCTGAGTACACTGAAGAGGATGAAAGGGTTGTCACCCATTCACAGACCTTTTTCTGGTGCCGAGAGGCACATGGAATAAGATGGGTGAGGAGACCTGAGGGACAGTGCTCATGAAGGCTTGCAGGCTGTCTCTGTGTTTCAGTTCCACCCACTAATAGTCTCAGAGTCATAACCAATTCGGTGTGACAATAAGCTTCCCAGCAATGGCTAGTCGCATTTTAAACATACTGTATATGCCGTCCTGCACATTCTGGGAGCAGCATTCCTACAATTAAAACAGTATGAATTTGACAGACCGACAAAGTATAGGAGCTAAAAAGTACACTCTGCTGTTAAGACAACCTTGTGCAGCACTTCTGTGGCCTGACTGCTGTTCAGCTGCAGCTGTTTGGTTGTGGAGAACTGGGTTACTTAAAATTGTAACTTGCCAATTTTGTTGCCTGACTCTGGGATCCACAGTATCTCCAGTCTTGCCAGTGATAGGCTGGAAAATGTAACAACTTTGACTGAACTTTTGAGACTATTTACAAAGACAAGGGTTGAAAATTACATTTCTAGGACAAGACTTGAGTTTTCAACAGTGAAAGAGTACAGTTATTTCAAGCAAAAGGATTTAGAGTTGCTGTATAATTCTGTTTTCTTCTCTAGATACCCAGTGGGTTTGTGACATTGTTTGCCAGCCCAATGAAAAAGACAAAAATCTATCACAAATCTTAATGATGACAGCCAAATGTCCAAAGTGTCTTCTCAGCAAGCTACATTGGCCAAGACCAAATCCTTGTCTGTGTGTGTCTGTGTGCACACATTTGAGTAGGTCCTCTCCCACCATCACAAGACACCAGTAGCTCCAAGAGTACACGCCATCGCCATGGAGACGAGCGCACCCAGCGCCTAACAACGCTATTTTTGGAGCTGTGCAAAGAGCTTCACTCTTCCTCCTTTTCCTATTCAGCAGCACTCTTTAATTTTCTCTTCAAAAATATTTTGGTGCCAGTGCAGGTCAGTTGTTATATAATTCAGTTGAAACACGAGTCCATGCAGGCATGATGGGTGGGGCGGTCGATGTGTGATGTAGAATACTGTGCATGTACAAGATGTCGGTGTTGCATTATCTCCTGCACATGGTCTGCACTTTGTAGTATTTATGCCTGCTATAGTATCACTTTATTTAGGAAGCAAGTTCCTCACAAATTACAAGGTGGTGTTCTGCTAAGACAATGTCCCACTTGCACAGAGCTGCTATTTATATGTAAAATACATGTCATCTCCACAAGGGACTAATTGAATACAGAGGTACTAATTCAGAGACTCAAAGTGTTTACATCCGCTTAGCGCAAGAATTACGTTGAAGCTGTTTAGGGGCACTATGTAGAGCTTTTTCTCACCAATATTGTTTTGGAATGGGACAAAGTGGATTTCATATAGGTCACTGACTATTGTGCTGCTCTAATCTTTAAAAGCATTCACTGCACTGTCCACAGTAATTAAACAGTGGTTTGTATTGTTACCAGACAAGATGCTGTGCAGTCTTCCATTGATCTCCTCTTTAATCTGTCTATTGGAAAACAAAGAGCTGGTGGGTGTAATGGCATTGATAGGGATGCATCAGTTTACAGTCTAAGACAAAACTGCATGGTTCTCACCAGGGGCAGTGTGTAGCCAAGTAAAAAGCCAATCATCAGGTTGCTATAGAAAGGCTTTGGTGAGATCAAAATAGATACTTAGTAGTGCAGCACTTAAGTGAATGCACTGATAAAGAAATAATGTTCTTGTCTGTGCAATGAGCCAGTACAGTAACGAAAATGGAGGGGAAATAAAACCATTTCTGAATGATTTGTGTAGCCCGTTGGCAAAGGGTGCTACATTTGAATGCTGCTCAAAACAAAGGTTAAACAATTCAGAAAGCAAATTCAGCATTTATAATCACACCTATGAAAAGCAAAGCCGCAACATGGAACCGATAGTAAAAGGGTGAAAGTTTACACGTCCCCCCCACCCAACCATACAGCACGGCAATAAATGTATGATTAGAAATGAAGGGAACAAAGCGTTAGAGTGAAACTTACTGAAACCATTGTCCTCCTCCTTTGTTCCATCAATGGTTCCATCTGCCTGCAGCTGCAGGTGGAAACCTTGTCGACTGTACAGCTTTGTCACGATCCCCTTCAGCTGGGGCTCTGGGAGCAGAGAGAGAACAGACGGGAAGATGCAAGAATGAAAAACAGACTAGAAAACCATGAATGTAGTAACATGAAGTCACTTGTAGCCACCTACACTGATATATTGAAGCTTCAGTTTCAGTTTACCATTTTGAATCATAGTAGAGACAAAATCCAGTTTAGCCAACGGGTAGTAAGGCTGAGTGGAACTGAGATGAAACAAAAATGAGCAATTATATGGGCTGATCGTGAGAAGTTGAGACACCTGTCAGTCAAGCAAACGCAACTCATAATCACCGCCAAAAAACAAGTCAGAAGAAGTAAATGTAACTATCTGAACTTATTGTGACAAAGAACTGGAGACGTCCTTAATAGCATCTAGTGTTTAGAGTCTGAATCTAGCAGCAATTGGAGGAGCTGCAGTTTAAGACACTAACAGTAGCTTGGCCATTCAGTTGTACTGGTTGCTATCTTATGTGAAACAAGAGGACTGATAAAGGCTCTGGGCTTGCTGGTGTCCTTCACGCAGACTCCCACTCGTCCGGTAGCCATTTTACAAGGGCCATTTCATTTTATTGTCTGGTGGGTATATAAACAAAGCAAAACCTCTAATGAGCTGAAACCCTTTAAATACATCTTTGTCTTTATGGAATTGCAACATCAAACAAATAATTTGATGTTTACCGATAGTTAAATGGCAAAATGGTAAGAACTACAGTTTGATCAGTGTTGCTGTGCCTACAAACCGTTTGTCTTTTGTCCACACTGGAACAGAGCTGACTAAACAGGCTCAGTTATCTGAGGTGGCAGAGGACATTTCTTGCATGTCCCCTTTCTTTCTCTGTCCATGCTTTCAGTCACTTTCCACTTTCCTGTTATGCAGAGGTAGAATATCAGAAAAATGATACTGGAATGAATTAAATTTAAAAGTAGTAAATTCAACACTTCAACATATTTTTGAGACTGAGCTGTATTTTTTGATGAATGAGAATAGTCTTAACTGATCCAATGGGCAAGAGCAACATGAAACACATGCCTCAATAAGTCAAAGACAATAAGTTTAAGTAGCAGAACATTTACTTTTGAAGTGGCTGGATAGTCTGTCTGTTAGATTAGTGCAGTGTCTGATAAGAGCTAAGTGCTCTCCACTCCCTGGTTACTGTCCCTAGTGGAGTGTCCTTTGCTGTGGTTTACCACACCTTTCATCTATCCTTTCATCTCACTTGCCTTTCAGTACTGCCATTGCTAGACTTAGAGGGTTTGTCAGTCCGAACACAAGGAACATGGTAATGATTTTATGGTAAAATGTATCTTTAAGGTAAGACTACCCAGACTAAAGAAGAGCTGTAGCTTTAAGATATGACTCTATACAATTATCTGATTTTCACACATGCACATACTTTCAAAAATGTACATATGCTTGTTGATTGTGTGCACACTGCTGTGCATTAACAAACACTGCACAAACTACGTACATATGGTGTTTATGAAACATGCCAGCTCTTTGTGTTTGGTGAGGCACCATGTGTAAGTCCCACACAGACAATGCCTTCTTCTTGGCACTCACTGCTTCCTCCACAAAATAGAAATGGAAATTGGTTGTCATAGGGGCATAAAGGCTGTAGAATAGTTATGCTGTTGCATAAACAAGCATCCTAACCTCCAGATGCATCAGATTAAAACAGATAAAAACAACCTGGGAATGAAGTAGATAGGATTGAATAAAGCTTGGGAGAAAATGCAGAGCTGAATTTTATAAGGCTGAGCAGTCAGCTTTGGGCCTGAGAAAGATGAGATAAGATCAGATATGCTGCTGTGGTCTAACTTCTGCACTGGATATGTGAGGGAGTGGGTGCTTCAGGCTGCCTGCACACTTCTGTCACTGCAGTAATAGGAGTGATTTAATAAGAGCCACTCTGCACTTGAGCTCACATGTCTGGGAATATCAACATCTACACTTAAAATACTTTTGAGTTCTGAAATCACGTACTACCTATCTGTTTATAAGTATTTTTCAGTTGGATACATTTCAACAGCAAAGAACTTGACAATATACTGTATATTGGGAAACGTTTCAGCTAGATGTGTAATCTGCTTAAAATTCTAAGTTACTACTGTACCTACTTATTTAAACATTTTAAATTTCTTGTAATGAAGAGATTATCCAATTTCCAACTGAACAGTGAGCAATAATTCCTAAGCGACAGAGCATTCCTCAGTGAATTACAAAATCTACTTATGCACTTTTGCATATCTAGTCCAGTGAGGACGGAATAGAAGGAGCAAGATGACGCACCAGTTTAATATACTGTGTCTCAGCACAGTCTGAACTGCCAAAGGTGATTTATCTCTGGACGAACGTAAGAAGGGAGCCTACTTATTCTCCCTCCCAACTTCGACAGACTCATTAATATTTTGAATCTTATAGAGACATGGAGTTTTTATCGTGTATGGTGTCTGGCTGGTTGAAATGGAATGGCACCCTACAATGAATGAAGATTTAATGGCCTGATGAAATGACACAACAGACCTGGTCTCCTCCTTCGCCTCTTCTTGGAGCCAAAGAGTTTGACCCGGGAGAAAACGTTCAGTCGACTGGGTTTTTCACAGTTTCCTTTGGTTTTACTGGGGCTGCTAACGCAGCGGCAGGCATTTGCCTTCTCCCGCTCCCTCGCCTGCCTTTTCTGCCTTATGAGGGAGCTGGCAATCGCTGCCGCCATAGCCAGTTTGGCAGCGCTCTGGAAAAAAAACTTCCAGAGAAGCGTGAAAATAATCACCCGTTTGAATCCAGAAAACTGGATTCTGACGGGAAACGTCCAGACGCAGTGGCACCAATCTGAGGCAACTACAACGATTCGTTAAACAACACAGAACTTGCAGATTGCACTATGAAAAGCAGATAATAGTCCCAGCAGTGCGGTAAAAGCCAGTTAGATGATGTCCAAATGAATCATTTTGCATGAATTTAAGCGTTATTCAAGAACTGTCCGTTGTATCTCCGAGAAAAAGTAAAACTTAACAAACCACGGGTTCCACCGTGAAGCTGTACAAAGACTTTCACCACGACACGTTCCATCTTCCTCCAACTGCATCATTTTTTCGGCATCACAATAAATACGCACAAACCCAGAATCTGTAAACGGCTTTGCATCATCCCGCTAACTACATGGCCGCGCACATGGTGTTTGGGTAGCCAGATATTCGGAAATGAAGCTCAATGCGCAGCCATAGGATAGAAACACCTGTTTGCATACGGCAGGAGAGTGGTTGCAGTGCTTTTAATCTGCTTTCCCCAACCCCTTACTGAAGATGCTGCTGTCAGAAAGAGACTTCCACCTTCTGTTTGCAAAGCCAGCGCGAAGAACAAATCACTTCAGAGATTCCATTAGTTTTTTCTGTCTTTTGTTGAAGCGAGCTAATGCAGGAGGCGCCTCAGTCAGGAAACTGTCTCTGGGCACAGCGCAAAGCACAGACTCAGACGAGCTGCTGAGCATCCCACCTACAACCTGGAGAATAAGCAGTGGGGAGGAGAGAGAGGGCAAGTGAGACACAAACCCAGCCAGTGTTCACACTTAGAAAATGGATGTCTCCTTAAGGCGTCATATGGGACAATTCATATTGCATATCAAGAGAAATGGGCTTGGGGGCGGGGAGGTGGCAAAGAGGAGAAGGACGAGAGGGAGAAGGAATATCAAAGGTCTTCGGCATTTTATTAGACATGTTTGGGCTAAAAGTCACGAACAAAAAAAAGCTAAGAGCTACGATCCTGCATAGATCATATGACGAATTTAAAAAATACATGGAACTCTGCTGTTTCAAACTTGGGTGAAGACGAGCGTCCAGCGGTAGACTGCGGGATTTTCATGCCCTATAATTATGGTTAACTACATTAATAGTTAGTATAACAATCATAACCATATAGGCTAAATAAAGTATTTTGTTTACTAATTATTTTCCTGCTTTTCCGTGCAAATAACCGTGAGGAATCAAACAGCAGGTAGCCAAGTCACAGTCACTCAAGCAGTGATGATGTGGGAGCCTGACCCATCAGAAATACCCATATAATAATATTAACGTCAAGTAAATACATCTGAACACCTATGCTTTAGCACCTTTTAAAGATGTGTCCCCCATTTAACTTCTTTAGTAAACTAGGACTCGACTACTCTGGAATTTTGGATTGACATCAGGAAAATACCAGCTGATATAAAGTGTGATCGACGTTGTATTAGTAACTGCACAACTCAGACGAAAGTACACGCCAGTATTTCCACCACTGCACCCGCACGCCAGCCTTTTGTGTGCTTTCCCTCAGCCCTGGATTGAGCACAGCTAACATCCTAACTAATGGTGCCATCTGCAGTCCTCAGTCAAAACTGTCGTGCAGTATGCGTTTTATTGACCTCCTCTGATCCAATAATAGACTCCAGTAACACACAACAAAATGAGGATTTTATGTTGATTGGTGTTTATGTCGGTTGATGCATCATATACTTAATAAAAGTACAGCACAATAAATACAGTAAACAAGTCACCAAACTAAATTAAATATTACAAGTAAGATGTAACCTTCCAGTTAGTGTCCTGGATAAACACAAACAGCTCCTAACCAAACGGCTTCAAAACCTCCTGAGCCAAACGTTCAAACTGTTTGTAGCGCTTCAGCACCGCGGACAGCTCCGAGGCGGTTACTGCTGTGGATCCATCATGAGTGTCCAACACCATTAATCACTCATTACTCAGGCAACAGCCCGTTTTACTTAAGTGAGGACACTTTCCCTTAATAATTACTTCAAAACATGATAGAAAGTTTAAAAACACGCAGCGTCAATTAAAAAAAAACCTACCTGAAACAGATTTTCTCAAGGGAAAAGTCATGATTCTCTACAGCTGAAGCCAAAGCGGTGGCTTAGAATACTGTCCTAGTGAAGAGAAGGTGAGCAGTCTACATTCAGCCAGTCTATAGTCAGACAACTGTCAGAGGCGCAGTGGAAAAGAAAGCATCGAGGCGTGGCCATCAACAGAAGATCATTACAGGACATTAGCGACATGCCATTATGACTTCTATAATGCTCATTAAACATTCATTTAGAGGTCTTGTTGATCCGGCAAACACGGACTGGCGTGTTCATTGTATTGCTCCCCTCGATGGGGCCAGATTGGAAAGAAGTGATCGAAAATGCAGGCCGAAACTGTACTTCCTTATTGGGGCAGAGGAGACTTTGCTCTCATATTACAAAAACGGTGTAAAATGATCCGATAATGCGTTGAATAAACTGGTTATACAGGCCTGTCCACTTTCCAGATATCGATGTACTATCAACTGAGACAACAGCATGCAATGTGTTCTTACTAAGACTCTGCTCTGTGAAACTGTAGTTTTTACAAATCGCCCGGTTTATACCGAGATTGCAAAATACAACATGGGATTATTAGCATCACGGCACAAATTGCAACACAGTGAAGTATGATGTCTTGGTTTGTATTTCATATTAGTCCTGTATGTTAGCCCTGTAAGGGATAGGTTTCAAATGAAATGAGTGACGTAGGCCGATGGCTTTGGAAACGTGGTTACACAAGTCATGGCGGATTCACTGATACTGAACATTGTACAGTTTATAATGACAAACTGAATAATGATCTCTGACATGTGGTGAGTCTAACAGGACATTAGAAACTTCTGGGTCGCTATACTTTTATGCTCACTGCTCATGCACGGTTGTGAACACTAGATGGAGCCCGCGGACCGGCTATCAATAGCAGCTCGTTCACTCTAAAGGTAAACTGTGCCTAAAAACAAAACTCAAGGCATTTGAAGAACTAACACAAGACAAGCAGAGCATCAGAACCCGAGCGAATGATTTAACTCAGATTTTTACAGTTGGTCTAGTTACATCTGAGTCTTTGAGCTTTACAAACATCAATTTAAGGAGCAGTTTAGGATTTATCTATACAGTAAATGCCATCAAAACCAGTCTGTCAACTTCAAATTCACAAACTAAAACGGAGCTGTACTAATTTGTACAAATGTCTCAGAGTATTTAAGGTGGAATAAGAAGCACTGCAAACAGTATATAGTTGTACAAAGATGTCCCCATCAGAGCACAACAAATGAGTAAAAATAAAAGTCATTAGTAGTACTTCCCTGCTTTCATAAAAGGTTAATGTGCTGAAAGTGTAAAGTCTTAAATGACATGAGAAATAACACTAAGATAAAAGCATTTGTCTTCCCATTTGAACACACTGTTTTCAATGCAGCACCTTGTAAAATGTGACCTTTCCTACAGCAGCATAGCAATAGTTCTGGAATTCACTCTGCAGCAGGCATACTGTGTATTTTCCCCTCTCGTACATGTTACTCCTGCATTCTGGAAAAGGTGCATAATGAACCCCTACACAACCTGATTTACACTGCAGCATACAGTATCCATGCCTGGTGCTATCTGATCTGTCTAACTTTGCCACGAGCAAACACAGATAGGGATCTCTCAGCTAACCGAAGCAGATCCCAGGTTGTGTTTCAGTCGCCCCACTACTGATAAACCAAGGCTATCATTCAAGTAGACATTGTGGTCCTAGAGGAGGATGGCTGGGTTTATCGCTGACAGGACACAAAGGGACGTGAGGAGTCAGGCTACATTGTTCAGCAGCCTGACCCCTGATCCTAAAGAACATACATATGTATATATATAGTAGGCCTGATCATTTCCATCCTGCTATTAGTGCTTTTCTTAGCAGCACCAAAACTATGATGAAACAGACACAGGAGAGGGCCATCTTTTAAATACACAAGAAGGTGGTGAATAATAGTATTGTAAATTCTTCACTATCAGCATCTTAAGAAGCCTCTGAAAAAAACACAGCTTTCATTCTCATATTTTTTTCTTTTCAAGAGAAGACTGTCGCCATGTTTGACTCTTTTGAGGTTGACCACAGACTTGAAATGTGCTCAAGTAAAAACTGGCTGATGAAAGGAACTGCATTTATGAACTGTACTGACGATCTATGATTTTATCCAAACACAAAACAAGTGACTTCTACAACCTCTAGCAAGCACTGTAAATGAGAAAGTCGAGCAAGAAATACACACACACACACACACACACACACACAGAAACTGTCTTTGTGTGCATGTTTCGGTTGCCTGTGTAGCAGTGTGCCATGGGTACATTAATTACCGTAGTGTCCCAGAATGCCAGTCTACTTTAACCTCCCGGGGACACCCTCGGTGTACTGTACTCATGCACGTGCACACAGTGGGAGAGTTAGAAAATGATTATTATTTACTGTATATTAATAATTATTTATAATTGTCACCTTCCATGATAATGCAGCCCTGGTACAGTATGTGTAATGTGTACAATAAACTACCTGTGTCAGTGTAATGTACGAACCTACAGCGCACACACTAAATGATTTTGTCTTGCAATATACTAAGATCTTTGCATCAACAGTCTAAGATTAGATTTACATTTGATACACTACAAGTTTTACTGCTAAAAGTTGTGTTCAAGACAGAGCTGTGAAAAAGTCTAGTGCAGAAACTACTGTTGGTGTAAGGCTCAGAGGTAGCACTGCTGAAACCATGACCTTCAGCAATCAGTCTGCTACAGTAACACACAGCTGTACCACAGGACTTCGAACAGGCCCAAAGGGTCCCAGCCCCCTGCTGCTCTTTCCGTCTCTGGCCACTAGAGAGCAGAACTCCAGCGTGAAAGGAAGAGACAGGAATGTGTGCTGCCAAGGGTGAGCACTGCATTGACCTTTTCTATTAATAAATATAATAACTTTAATTGTTTATCTTCTTATTAATAACCTGAGGCTGTCATGATAACACACAGGGTTTAATTGATTTATACATTTGGAGAGAAAAGTGGCCTTCAAGGGCAAACACTCAATAAATGGGAAGGTTAACCTCACTCATGATGCTTAACAGAGGGCCAAGCTGCATACTAGGATTGTGCCACGTTATATTGAGACATTTAATGTCCAACTAATTTCTTCACATATCCATATTATAGCAGGATTTTTAGTTTAACATCTTGGTACAGTGTGAAGGGATGAAGTGAAATATCATCAGGCGAAGAAGAAATCATTTCTGATAAACTCAGTGGGTTGCAGCTCAACCCAGTGAGCCTTTTGGCAGCATTCTGCTGCCTGTCTGCACTTTGTGTGCACACTGGTACAGTAAATCCACTACAACAGCAGCTTGCAGCATGCTAGGCCACCGGTGCTGTAGTGATACCGTGCGTTACCATGGAGACTGCACATACGTAAGAGATCGAGATAGCGAGACACAGAGTGTGTGTACACTGAGAACGGGTGGTTGGGTATTACAGCACAAGAAACCATCAGTCACTCAAGGTTCCATTAGAGGACAGGGCTACAGTACAGTCATGCTGACTGGCACTGATTCGTGATCTGTCCTGCCCCTTTGAGCCAGAGGGCTGTGTTCAGTGCATGAAGGCACTTGGTCAGTAGAGTGAAGCTGGAGGACACGAGTCCCATTATTTCTCCCAGTGGGCAATCCAGGATGATCTCAACCTTGGGAACACACAAGCATGCAAGCTGACTGTAAAGAAAGTGACCACAATGCCACCATGGAAACTACAGTAAGTATCACTGAGAAGCAGTCATCTGTCAACAGCTTTTTATATTGTGGATCTTAGATATAAATATTATGGGCTGTCATCAATACTTTGATTTGGTGTTTCATCCTGTGTCTAAAGAGTCAGAAAGTTTAGTAATAGTCCCTTACTGACAGGACAGCCTGCCTGTTTTAGCTACAATGACAATAAAATAAAACACATATTAAAAACTCAATCCAGAACTTATGAGGTGATA